CTCCTTCAATGAGGCCGACGTATGCGTTATAACTTAGCTTAGCGCGGCTGCGCAACCTTGCACGCTCGAACCGCAAACAAACTCGCCGTTTGAGCTGTCAATGTGTCCATATACCCTCGTTCGTTCGCTTTATTTTTAGTTTGTTTGGCTCGATATAGGTTTGCTCAATGGTATACAGTGTTGCGCCCGTTCCCGCGAATGAGTCGTGAAATAGCTTTGCGCCTTAGTTCGGCTAACGCGTTATTCGTTACCGTATTCTAGAGCGTAGCGAAATACAGTTACTTTAAAAAACTAACGAACATTAGTTTTCCGTTACAGTTTTCATTGTTAATCGACATCACTAAGCGGTGGACATGAGCTTCAAATATAAGTAAACTTTTAGTTTGCGATTTCATAGGCTTTATTATATTTTTTTAAATAAAATTAGTAAGAGAATATACATATTCTTAAATTATGATGGGATTGACTTCGTTTTATCGGGGAAGAATTTTCAAATGATGCAGCGAAGAAGAAAATATTATTCCCCTTTTCGGCACCGTTCGCTAAATGCGACTTAATTTGTTCCAAGCTGAAACAACAACAATGTTTAATCGAAAGAAACTATAGTAGCGGGTCATTTTATAAACGATACTTTCAAATAGTAACAAAAATACTTTCCTCGTTAGTCACGTAGAAGTATAACAATTTCGTTAGCGTTAGTGAAAAAAAAAGCAACGGTTTACCCAACGAGGTTGGGTTTACCAGTAACGTTGTTACATGTGACAACACCACTGGTGGGTTATCAGCCTAAGAAATTTGACGCGTCTACTTCCCTGCAAAGCAGATTTCTTAAGAGTGCTACTGTGAGCTGAAGGAGACACAAATACGCCCGACGTGAGGTTACATAGCGAGACTTTTCTCACAAATGAGGTTTACGCCTTGAAAGAGTGAGTCTTGCACACGTTACTCAAAACAAAAAAGTAATCGATTACAATTAAAATTACTATATTTAGCAAGTATTCAATTAGATTATTCGATTATTTGAGAAACAAAGTAATTGGCCGTTACTTGAAAAAAGTAATCGTTACCTCTCAGATTAGTTCAGATCGCAAAACGGCGGAGTAAAGCGGGTCATTCGTATTGTTCATAATTGGATTTGAATCACCGTGTTATGAAATACTTCTCTTCTTAATTCACCAACTCTGGTAGCCCATCCTCCCGTCGGATACTTGGTTCAAACATTTCTTGGTAGGAAGCCTGTGCGAACCAGGTGCGCCATTAGAAACGGGAGGGGAAAAATAAAGTAACTGTTACAAGTAATTTGAGTACTTCTATGATCAATCAGATTACTCTTGCGATTACAACCTAATAAATGTAATAAAAAGATTACAAAATTGCTACAAAATGTAATCGATTAATCTGGTTACTTGTGATCAGCACCGTACAAGTCTGGAAAGAGTGGAGCCATTATACATTTTAAATATGTTCTGCATTGAAGGACACTTCTGTCTCTAACTCCGTAGCTTTTGGTGCTATATGCATTGCGCTTTTCAACGAACTATACTAGTCTCTACCCGTGCGAGTCTCCCTTGTTATTAGAATTTACTTTTTGTTTTCTATTGTAGCGTAATTAGTCTTTATTAAAATAATACTCGCATTCTAATTGGAGTGCAAGAAAATGAGATAGGAGACGCGCTATACCTAAATATGAACGAAAACGCATTGGTGTATGTATATACTCCTTCGTTGAACACATGTATTCGTATATGTTTGGTATTTTCCTTTTCGTCTTCAGCCATTTAAATGTGTTAAAACAAATCTTTACAACTGGTCCGCGAAACATCTTGATATCGGTCTGAAATGTCTGGGTGGTTTACTTTTCCCCAAAGCACTTGGTAGCGTCAATCGCTGCAACTTACAGAGGGATGGGGGTGAATAACTAAATTAAAAATATGTTTAAACATAGAAACAAAACTGTCCGCATTTTTACTACTGGTGAGTGGTGACACATCATGGTCAGCGTGCCACAGCGCAGATCTTTCCTTTTAGGTCTCAACGTATTGTCAGCCTCGGAATTTGATTGTTGCTGCTGGCCTACCCAAGCACGTTGCGGGAAAGATAAAGAGGCTCCAGATATCTTAGGGTGGATCATTCGCATAGATAAGGACCAAACCTCACCAGGACACGCCTCCGGCACAATCCCGAATTCCACATACTGTGCCACAAGACAGCAGTTAGGCTTTATCCTCCCTGTCACTAGTTGCGTGCAGTACAGGAGAAGGCAACGGCAGGCTAGGGGAGAAAGGGCCAACACTAGGAACGTTGGAAAGGAGGAGCGAAACCTCCTCTCTTCTCTAACGTTCCTAGTGCTCTCCCTTTCTCCCCTCGCACTCCTCTCCCGTCCCGCCTTCATAGTACTGGTCCTTTCTCTTTTCACCTGGCGTTTCCTTCGCCTGCACTGCACGCAACTAGTGACACGGAGTACTGGTGGCTCCAGCGAAATCGACGCCACGTAGCGGCAACGCCAAGAAGCTCAGGAGAGGAGGTCGTTTCGACTCTCTTCTACTATCGCTGCTTGGTTCTCGTAGGCAGCATAGAAACAAACATCGTTTCCAGTAATTATTTGTATGCTTCCGCCGTGTCATTCCTACGCACTGACTAGAAGAAGGTTTCTACCGCTGAAAAATCGCTTTGTCTCCATATGTAACGCAGATTTTACGCTGCAGTGCCAGAAACTTATGGTGGTCATTGTGCTGAACGACGAAAACAACCTCCTTTCGTCCGCCATTTTGCCTGACCAGCGCGCCCCCTATAGTTTGCTGGAGTCGCGAATACACGTTTGCAAGTACGGTCTCAGGGCGCCGCCATGTTGCTCAGTTGGGGTGCGCTTGGGCCCGTCATAATCCGATTACAACGCCTTGCTAAGACGTCGTAATGGCGTTGTAATCGGATTATGACGCGCCCAAGCGCACCCCAACTGAACAAGATGGCGGCGGCCTCAGGCCGTACTTACAAACGGGCATAGGCGGGGTGCACGCTCATGAGCCAAAACAAAACAATAAGAATAACTGAGGAAACATAGAGTACTTTTCTGGAACTTCTCAAAATGAATGGAGAACTTCCACATCGGAGTTATTTAGCGTGCCGCGTACATAAGCTGCGTGCTTGTCAATCAAAGGCCACATTTTAAGTAATAAGGGTAAAAGAATATGGTGCAATCACGGGTCACAGAACGTCAAAAGGCGGCCATCTTGAAATCTTCAGTAAGGTAGAATCCGACTGGCCGCACTCCAAAAATCACGTAACCTACGAATCGCTTTGTATAGTGCACTGGCATAACAGCCCTGATTCCCCTCGACACGAGATGGGCACGTGTTCTTTTATTTCTTTCTCCTTAGTCCACATTTCTAATGACTCCTCTTGGGAAACGAACGCTTATGCTTATCTGGGCTAATGTGGACTCCAGATTGAACTCTCTATGCGTGCATAATAATTGGTACGAAGCTTACGTAAAAAAAAAAGAAGACACCGACATGATAACACGGTTGGTAGAAATAATGACGGACGTTCAGAAAACAATAGGGCCCACACAAAGCCTCAGGTGCGCGTTTCTTTTTCTTTCTTTTTTTAATGTCCAAATGTGTCTGCTGTCTTGAAGCCGGTCTCTTATTACCACGGCTTTATCCGTCCAGGAAAGTAGAACGACTCGATTGTAGGGTAGCGCGTTGTAGGGACGCCTGGGCGCGTTCCTTTTAGCTGTGGCGGCGCATGTCGACTTTCTTGCGGGCGACGAAAACAATTTTCATCGGGAATTGCACTGCATCCGGGAACGCACCTTTGCGTATAGGTCTTCGCTCAAGTGACGTGCGGCGTGCGCACGATCGATAAATAAAATAAAAAGAAAGATGGAGAGTGGCGTACGTGCGCAATCTTCTATTTTTGGGCGTCATCCTAACTTTGAGTTTGACCTAGATCTTAGATTATGTCGTTCTAGTTCATCAGATGAAACAATGGATGTGTGCATTAGTTCGACCTCGGGTGTCTGAACAAAAAAGAAAATCGTGCGACTTGAGTTGAGGTTCGAAATGTTTCATGCAACAGTTGGACCAGAAAGCCCAGACATGAAAACATAATAAGCTTGATTCCTAACTGTGTGCATTTCTTTTTTGCTATCTACACATTTTTCTTTTGTTTTTAGTGCAAATCTAATAACAATTACATTGTGTGTAAACGGAAATGTTTTAACGGTTGAGAGCCATTCATGTTAAATATTTATCAAGATGTTCCTTGTATTTTATGCGTAATATGTGCTATTTGACACCCTAAATAAAAGTACAGAGCATGAATTTGACTGGCTCCGTTCCAAAAGCCTATAGTTGGCTTTGACGGGCCAGGTATGATTTACACGAAGCAATTAACCAATACAATGATTAGTATTAGTATAATTATTATTAGAATAAAATATCCTTTAGAAAACTTGCATATCTTGAAGACAAAGCCAGAGCGCAACCAGCTGGTGAATATTAATAAACATAAAAGAATCCCGAGACTGCAGGAAGCAAAAACGAGACACACGCACAAACACACACACACACACACACACACACACACACACACACACACACACACACACACACACACACACACACACACACACACACACACACACACACACACACACACACACACACACACAAAGTTTCAAACGCAGCTTATGAGCTGTGCAACAGACTTTGCGGATGGGTGTTGGTTTTGCTTCCTGCAGTGTCTGGGTTGTGCTCTGTTTAGTCGATTTCACCTTGAAAACCAAAGTTAAAAAAAAAAAAAGGTCCGGCTGATCGATGAGCATTACTAAGTCCCTCTTTATATGGAGCATTAAGATATATGTAGGTGCATTTTAGATTAGACATTTGTTATCTTATCAAAACTAACACGTTACAAACGCCAAAAGCATCGCGTCTTCGTCCGACAACCAAATCGTGTAACAACTATACTTCGCGCGGCATATGAAGAATAAGCAAAACTTCTTTTTTTGTTTTTTTTCTGGGGGTGAAGACGGGTATAGTTATGTATCTTGTTTAGACCACATTCAATGCTATGTTTCAGATTGCAACACATTCCTTTTATAACTACTTATGTTCCAAGCTCTGTGTTCAACTATTCTCGGTTGTAGGTCATTGCAAAAATACACTTTAGGGAACGTTTATCTTCTGCGGTTGTCCACACCTGTGGTGCTTGTTTGCAAACACAGTGAGATCGTTCGGCGCGCCCTGTTTCTACAGGCCGATGTTTTCTTGGTTTGATCGTTGGCAAGAGGGAGTGTTATGGACACTTAAGCCGCCTTGTTTCCGTTGCAGGAAGTGGACGGGTGCTGAGCCGATCGCCGATGAAGCGGCGATAATGGGGCCCCTCGCCAAGTTGCTTTCATCGCACTTGCGCAACTACGCGAGCTGTTGCCGTGCACGCCGACCCCCACCAGCATAACTCATCCCGGAGCAAGAAAGAACAAAGAAGCACGCAGGGCCGCCGTTCTTTTCCGGAACCAACATGAAATCGTACCACCGCCACCCGCCGCAACAAGCACCGACCCACCAAGAAGCGGACGAACCCGTTTTTCGGCCGCTGCGCCGCTTTAACTGGGTCCCCGTCCGCAAGAGGCCGCCACGCTACCACTCCCCTCTCGTCACGTGCTGCCGCACCAGCCAATCGGCGCTCGCCGCTGGTGGCGCCCCGTGCGGCGGCTACTCGAACGACGCGTTCGCCGTCTGCTTCCGCTCAGAGCCTCCGGAGCACCCGAACGAGCGGGAGGTTGCCTCCGATGGAGTCGTTCGTGTGAGTTCCGCGACTGACGCCAGTCGTCGAGCCCTAGGGCCCGTCGACTGCGGCCCAACCCTGGCCCGGCAGCGGAGCGGGCACCCCGGAGCCGCCGCGGGGTCGGCCACGGCGGCGACCAGGCTGGAACCGAGTCACCAAAGCCATCACCACAGTCACCACCACCACCACCACGAAGTGCTGCCAGACATCCTGAACGCGCATTTGCCCCCGCCGTACGCTACCCTTCCGCAGCGGCGGCATCTTCCGCCGCCTCCGCCGAGGCTTAGGCCTCCCCGATGTGTTGTGGATACCGAGGTCGTGGAGCCCAAGCACTGCTGCGGGGTTCTGGTGACGCAGACCGTGAGCATCCGCTGGTTTATCGTCATGATCGCCTTCGTCGGGCTGTGTTGTGCGATCGTCGGTACGGTGCTCGGTGCGCTCAAGGCGACGGGGAGGGAGCATCTGACCGTCTCGCTGCTCATGATCGGTGAGTCGCTTCGTCCGGGTCTCTTATGCTCGGACGATTCGGTTATTCACAAAATAAGCTTGGTTAATCACAAAAACCTTTTTCCAATCCGGTTGACCACTAAAACGATTTGGTCTACCGCAATAGTCTCATATAGCTCGCACTGATTGTGTTTGTTTACTTATGGTTTAACTCCAGGATCCTCTGGGGTGGGATGCATTTTGATCAGGGAAAAGTAGAATGCTCCGAGATGTTAATGTTAGGATCTTCATAACATTCGTGCCAGGAGCAATTTTGTTTTTCTCCAAGCGCATCGAGACAACAGTGACGAAATCGCGTACTATCACCAAACTGCATGATCGTCACATCTATACTTATATCTATACTTACATCTATGCCGAAAGAGTACCTCGTTATGAGAAAGAACTCATTTTCCGACTAAAAGAACAAGTTTATTCTTCTGTTTATTTTTGTTAATTTTTTTCCGTCTACGCAGTGTAATGTTTAGTGTAATGTGTAATTTCTCAGTTTCCTGTTATCCTGAAGATCGGAGGTGTTGTTTTCGTGCATATTCTTAGATTAGAAGAGACGCCATGTGGGCAACTAGTGTCTTTTGAAAATTCGAGTGAGACCAGGTGGCTATGGTGAGACAGCCGCGAATCGAGGCCTACTGCAGCAGCCGAGCCGTCCGGTTGCTTCCGATCCCTCGAAACAAGGTCATCGAGCCCGTTCGCCTCCGTGCCGTCAAATGGGGACACCAGCAGCTTCTTTTTTTTTTTCTTCCTTTTTTTTTTTTTTTTTTTTTTTTGTGCAGTGGCGCGCCGTTTTTTTTTTTTTTTTTAATTTTTTTGCTGGTGCCACATTTAAACGATTCGCCAGTCTGTGTTCCACACTCTTTATTCTTTTACTTAGTAATACTTCTAGTTCTCTCGGGAACTAGGCTGGTTAGAGTTTTAAAGATCGTACATTCAATGACCCCGGCAAACAAAAGAAAAACAATCGGTGGGGTGGAGCAAGTTTTGGGGATTATAGGTGGGGTTCCGTGTTTTCGGTGTGCGCCACTAAAAACCCCGTATACATAACCCCCTAGCCGGTGCAATCAAAATGGGGAAGAAAAACAAAATCGAGAAAAACCCGAGTGAGAGCTGTCCTCGAGTAAGATAAATCCGAGCCCCACGGGAAGGAATTTTCAATTGCAGCTTTATTTTGTGCGTACCCAAATGAACACGACCCCCACTGAACTGTCCGCCAGGTTGCATCTGCATGTGGGCATTGGACCCGTTGTTTCGTTTCCGTTTTACTTATGGTACCGGAAGATTATTCTATTTGATTCATGCGCATCTACCCCGGACATTGCGGACTCCCATGTCCTGTTGTCTTCAACCGAAACACCAATAAACAGCGAAATTTTTCTTTTTTTTTTTGCATATTGAAAACATAAACGTTTAATAGAAAAACTCAAATGAGAAGGTCCGCACAATGAGACTACACATAGGCGTAGAGAAACACACGGATCACAATAGAACGAAATATACAAAACGCGTTACACGAGACGTATATGTCATGATGGTCTATAGTCACTTAAAGACCGACAACCAGTTCGCTTTTTCCACGTTTCCCTCGCTTCCTCCTCTCCCTCCTTTTACCCTGCGCACCGTTGCCTGTTTCCTTCTCTCCCATGGTGAGGGGGATCTTCTGCCTTGCAGAATCTCAAGTCTGGTCGTCGGTCTTTAAAGCATTTGAGAAGGATTCTTCGAACTTGGAGTGAACGGTGGTTTCGATCAGGTAACCTTGTGCCACCCCTGATTCCAATGTGGATAATGCTAAAGTCGGATGAAATCGGTTGTGAAACAGAGGAGCATCATCAGCTACATACATGTTTGACAATGAGGCAACAGCTTTCGCCAAAGCCTCCCTGCTCGTACACCATACAAGAGACGTAGTGTTAGTTGCAGGCATGATAACATTATTATCTGCTTCATGATGTATACTTTGAACATGTCTGCAAGTTGCCTTATTTCTTAGCAGCGTGACTGGATGTACTCTTGCGTTTTCTTCATAGTCCCTGATTTGCTAAACATACCAACAAATATCGCTGGAAATAGTCACCCAAATGTTGGGCCAAAATAAAAACATTTTCACTAAGTTATTAATGTTAGAATTTTGGTCGTCACCGCGTTTTTTGAAGTGGAAGTTTCTACTGGCAACAATAAAAGAAGTGGCGACAACGGAAGTCAGGGGTTCACTCTTTGTAGTGTTGACTTTGTTCCCAACTGATTACAGACATTTTCACGGTTTCAAATAAATGCCTTGGAAGCTATGGCGTCATTTTCATTTGGCGATTACACAATAGCTATTCTGAATTTCGCCATACTAAATAGCATAGCGGAAAGGGTAAAGACCGTAAATTCCGAATGTATTGTTATTCGCAATAATTGAAAAAAAAAAAACGCCTTAGTACTTCTTTAAGGATCCTGAAGGACGAAGCGTTCAACTGTCACTTTCATGTCTACAGGGCTACTTTTGACCCCTCAACTTCTGACTGCTTTCGCGTTTTTGTTTGAATGCTACTCGCACGTTTAAATGAGGCTTCAGGCTGCCTTAGTGGTTATAACTAGTTTACTGTTTCAGTTCCCCCGAAATCATACTGTCGAAATCGATGCCCATTGTACTGGAATGCAATTGAAGCCTCTGGAAACCGTCGAGTGCATGGTGGTCTACGTTTCGAAAAAAAGCTTAGCTTTCGCGGGTTCACGAAGAACGAAACATCGGGAGTAAATTTGGTGTCGACCTACAGACAGTGTGGCAGCATTCCTATTTTGTTTTAATTGTAACACGCACGTCGAAGGTGTCAGGAATGTTTTGGGTTCTCTTGATAACCCCACTAAAATGGGCTGTTTGTTTTAACATTTCAATTACACATAACATGACAAGCAACTATAGCTCCTTTAACTATTTTTTTTTCTTCCACGAGTTAGAGGAACACTCCTGTACATCTTTCCAATGTTTCTCGCCCCAGGTCGAAAATGTTGAGTCTGTTCCGTAGACGCACGAGTGCATCTAACATTCGGCGATAGAGTGCGACTGCGCATGCCCAGAACGCGTTCCACACAGCCCAGTGGATAAAGATGGCAGCGCGCAGATGACGATTATTTGGAATGGTGTATCGGCGTTAGCAAGTACAGCCACTGGGCGCCTCCATCTTGCTGCTGGACTGTGTAGAATAGGTCGTCTGATAGACAAGCTTGGATGGATGGATAGTAACAACTGCACCTTTTATAACAACCGGTAGCTTGCGCCATCTAGCCTAAAAACTGGATAGGTTGATGAATGCTACCGGTTGTACCTTTTATAACGGGCGGTAGTTTGCGCCACCTAACCTAGAAACCAAAAAGAACCAAAAGTAGGATTTCTTTCCTCACCTTTTACAACCAATCTTCCTTCCCCCCAGCTTTTACGTAACTATTACAAGACAGTGCGCGATATCGCCAGGACAACCTTTAAGGATCGGACAAACCCCTGGTCAAACTTTGTTGCTGTAATTCCGAAAACCGAACCCACTGGAAGACAGGGTTGAGACTTTGGGGCGGAGCCACGCGGGAGGGAGTCCCAATTTTCCTCTGTCCCACGTGTCCTCTCGGCTGTGCAAGTTCATTCAATTTTGCCTAAATAATTTCCACCAACTTGCTAAGGTGTGCTCATAATTTCCAGATTGGTGCCCACACAGCATTTCGCATCTACGGTTGTCTAAATCTTGCTATTTTTTTAGGGGCGTATACTACAATGTTTTGTTTTGCGGAAATTTGTCCGATTATCACGCAAACCGCTTTATCTAGTAAATTGTGGCGAAAACAAATAAAATAAAGAGTTCCACTACGAGCATTTTTTTTTTCTCACTGGTTTTATTAAGCGGTGGAGTTTATTTTCATGTTTCTTTTGTTTACGTTTTTATGGCCGTTGTCATTTTGTGTGTCTACGCCGTCCGGGCTGGCGCGTCTGATTTGGAGGAAGTTCGTGGTTGGTATGACTTTTTGGTGGTGCTCCGGCGGCGACTGTGTCAGCGGGTTAATGCGAACGACGCCTTCCTTTTTATTTCTTTACTCTTTTTTTATGGCTTCTCTGACTATGACCTTCCGTGTCTGTCGCCCGAGTCTGTCGCTAAAGGCGACATTTTCTTCTTTTTTCTCTTTTTTTTTTCTCGAGGAAGCCGTTATGGCTTTCCGGATCTTGCACGGAGGAACCTATTTTTCCTGTCATTTACAACGCATTAAAAATAGCAGCGTTGTTGTGGAGGTGCTTGAATAGGGTGGCTCGAATCCAATGAAGCTCTGTGAAATGTCAGTCCAACACCGTCGTCTGTGTCTTTCCTGTATGCATGGTGTCCGGCTGGGGATCTTAATATAGTGTTGTACCGAATATTGCCACGTTTATCTTGGTTGCTTCACCAAAAATTGCTTTCTGCCTCTGAATTTGATTTTTCTTCTCTAGTTTCTTGAAGAATCGAAAATAAGTTATAGTTCTTTCCAGTATAGTGGCTAGTTTGAATGCAGTCTCGTAAAGTTTATGCTGCAAAGAACTTTTAGACAATTGTTGAATGTCTTCCTCCCAGCATTGAATGAACTTTGGTCAACATGTCAATACCGGATCGTAAAAAGAAGAAGAAAAAAACTTTGCAAGCATTTTTTCATCAAAACGTCGGTAGTAAGCTTTTTACAACCCATTTTTTGCTTCACTATTTTGCGCATAAATGTGGGAGAAAACAAAGGGACACACAATTGCATTTTCAACTTGTCCCGTGCCTCGAATCGATTTATATTTTAGTTATTCGCGATACCTTACAGGCTCATTAAGAGCATTGTGTAAGAGCGGACGTTTAAACGGATACAGAAATAAAGAACGCGACAAATATAATAATAAACAAAACTACTGTACAAGCAATAGCAAACATGTAGTTACACGGCAGAAGAAACGGCACAAAGTGAAAAGGAGAAAGAGCTGGTGGAAACACGTGGTTTGGGGAA